ATACAATATTTATTTATAGAAAATTCAAATATATCTCGACAATCACCAAGAAGATCATGGCACAATGGAAATTTCGAAGATCGTCAACAAAGTGATGATCGAGTATTTGTAATAAGAGTTCCCGAACCGGAAATGATTAATAGCAATTCTCATTTAGAAATTCTTCACGAGACTAACATTAAATCTGTTCAAAGAGAATCATCACAAACTGAAAAAGGTGAAATAAATAATATATAATTCTAATAATAATAAATAATAAAATAATTTATCTTTTTATATATAATATTTATTTCTATAGTTATTATCATTTCATGTTATATCTCTATGTGTTAAAAATTTATTTATAAATAAAAAAAAAATATTTATATTATAAAAATTATATAAATTTATATTATTATATAATTATTATAATTTATAATTATATTTATATCAAAAAATATTTCTTATATATAATTTAAATGTTATATATTTTTTTAAATTGATTTCTATTTCATTTTCAGATTATAAAAAATCAGCTTGTGATCGTGAACGCACAAGAATGCGTGATATGAATCGAGCTTTTGAATTGTTACGATCGAAGCTTCCAATCTGTAAACCACCTGGTAAAAAACTTTCGAAGATCGAATCGCTTAGACACGCGATTACATACATACGGCATCTGCAAAGTCTTTTAGAACCACAATACAATTATGTTCCGAATGTAACAGAAAGAAACTATTACGCTAATAATGCACCAGTTACTACAACTACTTCTTTAAATGTTCAACATACATCCCGATGGGAATCATTCGCTTATTATCGTTATGATTATCACACACCGTTTGTTAATTCTTCTCCGGTAACATTACCTTCATCTATTCATCCTCGAATATCGGAACAGAATGATCGACAATTTTCTTATGAGATACGACATTAATATTTATATTCAATAAATATTTATATTTATTATCATTAGTATTAATTTTTGACAATCATATTTGAGAAATAGAAATGATAATGCACTAAACTACAGATCAGAATTCAATATATTTAATCACTAATATGATTAATACTTAGTTAAATAATAATAATAATAATATAATTAAATGTAATAATAAATATATTTTATATTTCAATAAACAAATGAAAATGATATAATAATGATTCGAATTATTTGCAATATGTGCATTATCGTACTATTCGGAAAATTATATAGGATCATGATATATTAAATGTGTTCCATCATTTTGAATTTATATATTTTATTTTTATTCATTCAATCCGTAAGAATATTTTATTTTAATGAATGATGAAAGTAATTGAAAAAATAAATTGAATAATAATTTAGCATTAGAATTTAGCATTAGTATTTTATAGAAATAATATTATATCGAAAAAATTATAGATCATATTTTATCATATTGCATAAAATTTTCTTTTTAATATATATACATATTTTCTTTTATTATCATTTAAAATAAAAATATTACGTGAATATTATAATGCACATATTATAATTTCACAATAGTTTTATGTTAATTATGTTAATTATAATTCTTTGATTAATTCATTATACTTATAAAATAAAATTTATAATAGTATTTATATATTTATAATTATTATATATTTATAAATAGAGTATATAATTAATAATAATCATTTTATTTTTAGATTAAATATTTTTTTTCATTGTAATTTAGTATATTTAAAAAATATTTTATATAAAATTCATGAATTAGAATATTTTCATGAATTAAATTTTATTAAAGTAAAATAATAATTATATGATATAATAAAATATTATTTATATTCATAATATAAACAATTTTTAAGAATTCATTGCACAATATGAAAAATCTTCTTATATAATCTTTTAAAAGATTGTAAATTGTAAATAAAAGTTATAAATAAAATATTATTAAAGAAATAATTCATTATCAGATTCTTCTTCGATAAAAGTTAAACTGCTTCTTGATTTCTTAAAGCTAAAATTATTTGAATAATCTTTGCTGCTAGATGCTTCATAAATTATTTTATCATCAGAAATATTATCAGTTTTTTTATTTTTTTGTATTTTTTGTGGCTTATCATTAATAAAATACTTTTGTTTACTGGTAGATAATATAGAAATGTAATTTTCAGTTTCATCTTTTTCAGATTCTTCACTTTCATCTGTACATACATCAAAAATTGATTTTTTACTACTTTCTTTTTCTTTTATAGTATTTTCTAATTTTTTAATTTTTTTTTTTTTTGAATTTAGGAGTACTATAAATTTTTTATAAAGATCTTGTTCCATAGTAGTTTTGATTTCTATCATTTTTTCTATTTTCAAATTTAATGTTTCATTTATACATATTAAATTTTTATTTTTTTCTTCCAATATAGTTATTTTATTTTGAATACTTTGATAAAATTTTAATAGTTGTTGAAAATTTTCACACATCACTTGAATATCTGAAATAGAATGCAATTCAATTTTTCCAAGGATCCATGTATTGTTTCTCCATTCTAAAATTTTATTTTTAATAAAATATTTAATTTCTGTATCTTCTCCACAAAGTATTTTTTTTGTTTCTGTAAAATACTCATCAAATGATTTAGATAATTCATTAGAAAAATCATTTATACTTTTAGTGTTCATCTACAATATAACAATTTTTTTATTGAATAAAATTTATTACTATATAACTATTTTTAAAAATTTATATAATTGAAATTTTTTTTATTTTTTAATTTTTTTTTTTTCGATTTGTGAACTAACCTCACCAATCAGCGGTAATATTTTTGATTCTAATAACATTATTTTAAGATATGAATTAAACCATTTTACATAAAGTGTATAATATTTGTCATCAACTTGATTAAAAATTTCACATACAGTTATTTTTTCCATTGCAATAATAATTTTTATTGTTAATTCACTGATGATTACACAATTTAAAGTAAAAAATTGATATCATTGTGATACAGATATTACAAAAATAAATATTATTTTTTTAATAATTATATTACTGTAACTTATATTTCTAATAAAATACTTATCAATATCATAAATACTTATCATAAATACTTATCAATATCATAAATACTTATTGAATCATCAAGTGAAAGTAAAGCATTATTAGAAATTATTAGAAACAAAATATACTAAGAAACAAACAAATAGATACGTATTAGAAATTGAAATTTTACACATGTAATTTGTTTTTAAGTCTAATAGCTTAAATTGAATTATAACAAATTAAATAATATATACAGACACAGTTTATTAATATTGATTGAAGATTGAAATATTGTAAACTATATTTAAAAATATTATATATGTGCAATTTGTGCATGTATAATAATAAAATTTAATACTCTATTGATACTCTATATATTTGTAATTCTAGACTAATATTAATGAAATCCTAAAAATGTCAATTTTGAACATAGAAGAGAAAAATAATGAAATGAAGTTCACAAATTGAAAATAATATATGAAATTAAATATTAAATATCATTTTGTATAATAGAACAGAAAAATTGAATTTTTATAAAATATAAAATTTTGTGATACGAAATATTTACATTATATAAGGAATAAACATATTTTAAAAATTATTTAGGAAAATTATTTGCAATTTATAACAAAAATGATTGAAATAACAGCAAAATTAATTAGAGGACCTGTATATTTTTCTGGTGAAGTTATAGAATGTTTAGTTTCGTTTAGTAATCCTCCAAATCCAATTCATCAAATTTCTCAAAGTCATAGGTAATATATTATTAATTTATTGATATCAAAAAATCTTTCTCTACTTTTTATATGTAAATTATAATTAATTTCAGTGATATTTTTGAAAGTCTTGCATGGGCTAGTGCTCAAGTTCATTGTCAATGTTCCACAAATAGTAAAATTGTTTTTTCAGAAAAATTAAACATGACAGCTCAATTAGCTGCTATTAATGCAAGTAAGTTATTATATTTTAAAATAATAATTTTTTTTTCATTTTTTTATTATCTCATATATACATTTATATATAGATGTATATATTTAAATATTATTTTTTTAACTTTAATTATTTTTCTAATTTTATAATGATAATAAAATAATAAATTCATTCAGCTTGTTTTTTATATATAATAAGTATCTTACAGATACAACATTTGCACCATGGCAGCAAGATAATGGTCATGTTGTTCTAAACACAAAGCCTAAAATTTTATTTTGTGATTTACGTTTATCTCCCGGTGAAAGTAAAACATGTGAGTCTGTAATAAAAATTTAGATATATTTTAGATTTTTGATTAAAAATTAAATATTTAAGTTTTCTAGATCTTTATCGGGAAACAATTCCAAGCGATGCACCTCCATCTTATAGAGGACATGCAGTGAAATATTCATATAAAATCACTGTTGGAACACAACGAGTAAACACAGCTATAAAATTACTTAGAATTCCATTTAGAGTACTTTCTTTGAGTGGTAGTTATTATTTATCTGATTTATTAAATTTATTTTTTATATAGAAATAAATGAATAAATTTACAATTAAAATTAATGTAAAAAATTATATATCACAAAAATATGAGAAAATTGCATTTAAAGCTATTATTTTATTAATTATACTAAATATAATAGAAATTTTTTATTTATTTTATCAATTTATTATCAATTTTTCTTATATTAAAAATATGCAATTTTTTTATACATGAAATTAAGATTGTAAAATTTACCTGTAATGAAAAAAACAAAAAATTAATCATTCAGAAAATAGTTTTATATTTATAAATATATATATATATATATATATATATATTAGTTTTTTTTCTTAAATATAGAATATTTAATAATTGTATATTTGCATATAATTTTCAATTTAACAATTTCAGAATTGCCTGAAGTAGCTGCTTGCAATGATAGTGTCGATTTAAGTCCAAATAATCCATTCATGGAAACACAACATAGAGAAACTCCATTAGATATTGCACTACAAACTCTTCAGGTTTATTAAACTTTTTATTAAAAACTATATATTTTATGGTATATATATTGTCAATTAATATTTTATTTTAAAATTTAGAATTTAACAGCTAGACGTAGTCCAAATTTTTATAATATTACAAATGGACGTGGACGCGTCGTAAGATTTTGTCTTTTCAAAAATTCCTATAAACTTGGAGAAGATATAGTTGGAACATTTGATTTCTCAAATGCCACTGTTTCTTGTGCACAAGTATCTGTTGCATTGCAATCAGAAGAACATATTTCTGATGAATACAGACGAGGAAAAGCCATAACTCCAACTTTAGTTAGTTACAATAAACATCATGAAATGTGTATGGGTTTAAAATATTCTCATTTAGTATTACCAATACCATTACATGTAACACCGGATTTTACTACTGATTTGATGACATTAAAATGGAGATTACATTTTGAATTTGTTACAACTTCAAAACTAGTAGAAATGCCAAATGAAACTAGTATTAATTGGCAAGGACCATTAGTTTTGGATGTTGAAACAATGATTTGGGATTTACCTGTTCATATTCATCCAACAACTACACCACCTAATACTGCACAACAAATAAAATATAATATAGTGATATAGCAAATTAAAAAATATTGTAAAAATTTATAGATTATTTTTCATTTATAGTAATATGAATAGTTAAATTTTCATATCTATTATATAAATTTTTTAAGAAGATAAATATAGAAAAATGTACATAAATAAAGTATTTTATTTATATAATGTATATGAATTTAACAAAACAAATTATATTTAAATAATTTAAAATATTTTTAATATCTTATTCAC